GATATCGGCCAAAATCCCAATATTGTGCATCCCTAATGTATATATATGTTTATATATATATAGTGGCGGCCTAGTGGTTAGGCCATTGCGCTTAAAATCCTGAGGTTGTGAGTTTGAGTCCCACTGCCACTCTGGGTCTCTGAGGAAGACCCTTAACTGCCCAACAATGGCAGCCCACTGCTCTCCTAGGGGATGGGTTAAATGCAGAGTTCATTTCGTTGCTCCGTACTTGTGACCATGTAATGACAATAAAAGCTGGGAAAAAGAAGTATATATGTATATTAATGTAGGTTTCCAGTTTAAAAAAGTGGGCATGGCTTATAGTGAGGTGCGCTCTATAGTCTGGAAAATAAGATATTTATTTGTTTAAATAAAAAGTACAAGAAAACAAGTATGAAGACTTCATCAAGCCACTGTGTGTTTTTGGTTTTGTCCATGGGATGTTTGGACAGGAATGTTTTAGTTTTCTCATTATTTTAATTCCTCAACAGATGAAGATGATTATTGCGCTGGTAGTCGTTGCTCTGCTGCTGATCATTATCGGTGAGTACTGGATGTCCTTTGCAATTAAAATCAGCTTTCATTTACAGAGACGCAGTATTCCCTCTGACGTTATCTTCTGTTTTTCAGTCCCAATAATCCTTCGATATCGTTAGCGACTGATGAATTCCATCTGCATCCTCCCATCTGGCACCCAGTCCCAGCGGGCCCCGGGACGCCGTCCACACTGTCTTCAGAGTTCCTTCACCCTCAGGCCTTCTTTTAGCCGTTAGTTCAGATCTTTCATCATATCTGGATGTGAGATCAGTTCTAAGGCTCGGTTTGATCCCTGCTTGATGAAGCTAAGAGAAAACAGAAGCATTGACTTTTTGGCTTGGGTTTAATATCTTTAACGTCTCAGATCAAACCTTCAGCACGGGGAGGATCCAACAGTCTGTCTTATTGATCTCCTGTAAATCTGCTGCAGCAGCTTCATATAGAGGCTGTAACCTCCAGCAGATGAGCCTCTGGTGTTTTCTCCCCACATCTGAATCTCCATCATCAACAGGAGCGATGGTTTAGAGGGAACACCTTTCTAGTAAAAGCACATTTTTTACATTCTCTCCCGTTTGAGAAAACATCAGAGCCTCATCTGCGTTTTTTTTTCTTTTTGTATCATAAGACTTTTTTTTTTTAAATAACAAATAGATCAGTCCTCTAAAGGGAAGATTCCTTTAGAGGAAAAGGACAGACTTTTTACTTTCCCATGCGATGATCTGGTTGTAGAGAAAGAACCATGTGAAACCAAACCAGCCGGATTCTGAATGTCTGCTTAAACTTCTCACTTCCTGCAGGAACCTGCTCTTCTCTGGGCTGCTTTGGTCGCCTGTTCATTTATTTTTAAACTCCCGGCTCTGTAAATGGTTCTTTTATGTTTTTTTATTGTCGTTTTCTTTTCTCTAAACTGGAGTAATTCTTATTGCTTTCTCTGTATGAACGCTGGTATTTGCTACTGAGGGAACAGTTGATCTCTGTACTGTAACGACTGGAAAGGAAGGTCCTATGTAACATGAATGCAAACCATAAGTGTAGTTGTGACTGGTTACGGTCTCCATGGTAACTTTTGATGTGTAATTTATTTCAGCTGTACATACTGACTGTAAGGATAATGTACAGTACTGTGTGGCATTGCATTGGAAGACTGTGACTCTTTTTGCTCTGAAGTAAAGTCGTATTAAAGGGCACTTGTCTGGTTTGCTCTGGTTTGAGCTGGATGACTGAAACAGAAGCGTCCGCAGACTAAACGGTGTCCAGGAATGGAGAAAAACTTAAAAAAAATAACCCAAAACAGTCGTGGTGCCATCCCTAAAGTTTTAAGCACAGGTTGAGTGTCCGCCCGCTTGCAGAGCTGGCTTTTATCTCCTCATTTATCCAACTGTTTAACTGGCTCGTGACTTTCCTGGCATTGTGGAGTCCCCAGATGGCATTAAAGGCGGAGCGGCCTGGAGCCCATGAAGCCTTATTACTCTGACAGACCCTGGCCTTTCTTCCTCCCAACACCAAAGGCAGGAACACACGCCGGCCCCTCTGCCCCGCATCGTGCCAGAACCACCAAACCCACCGCAGGAACGGACACTGAATAGGCCCCTGAGGGTCAATTAGCTTTGTTGATGTATGGCAGGGGTCACATCTGGTACTGATGCAGACAGCAGGGGTGACGGCTGCGTTTCCGCTCTGAAGTTAAGGTTGTAATTCAAGCTAATACACATTGTTTGGATGTTTATTAAAGCGGGCATGAAAACCCTGCTCAGAAGTCCTGGTTGGACCAGCGCCTATAAATCACCAAGCTTTAGAAGGTCGTAGGTCAAAACGACTAAAGTCAAGTAGGCAGAGCTTCCACTTCTAAGGTTTATGCAGTGGAACATCTTCTGATCCACCAGGTCCTGAAGACCAGCAGATTACATGAGTGTAGACAGAGAAATAATCTGATTAAATCAGATTAGAGATTTAATTAGATTTCTTCTTCACATCCTGTGGGTTTGTTTGCACATATTGCCCAAAATACTTACAAGTGGCTCTGATTAAATAAAAACAAAAAACAATTTAAGCTTTTCTATAAATGTTAATAATTTTAGATTAATACCTGGTGGGCTTGTTTGTAGAAATGCTAGGACACCTTTGCTGAGCTTTTGATTTTTCAGATCTGCGTTCCGTTAGATGGAGATAAAATCATCTAAGTAGGACGGTTGAGAAGCTCACAGGAGCATCACGCCAGAGAGACGTTTGAGATGCGGCGGTCATGGGTGACCTACCTTTAGAGGTTTTCCAGCATATTCCAACTGGAAGGAGACCCTGGACGTACTGGAGGGACCATATAGTCTGTTCTGGAAACACCTTCAAATCCCACAGAATGAACAAGTGTGGTGGTGGGGTTGTTACCAGTTTTACATGTGGTCAATAATGCCAAACCTGACAGAGAGACGGCAGAAAGAAAAGCAGTAGAAATGAGAGAGATCCTTTAGACAAAAAGAGAAAACCAACAAAACCATCCAGCAGCTACTACATCTGTTAACAAAAACAAACTGATCCTTGTGGGCGTTCCAGGTGGAGAACCTAAAGGAGCTCCTGCTAAACACATGACACAGAGAAGACAAAACAACAAAGCAACAACATTGGTAGCAGAGACACTAGCGAGCTTCTCAGAATTGTGCAGCAGAGCTTATGGAGCCGTATGTCCTAGAAACTGACTGTGTGCGCGTGAAAGAATGAGCACCCGCTGCCCTGGTTTCTCAGATGGTACTCAGTTATGGTGATGAGGGGCCACCAGCCGAAGCCCACATCCCCACACCCTCCTCCAGCGCTCCAAAGAGGGCAGAGAGCCCCCTAGACCCGGTCCCCCAGCAGCCACCTGAGCACAAATCCCAGGGAGACCAACACAAAGACAACCAGACACCAACCCAGAAGGCAACCAGAGGAGCCCTCCACCACCATGGGCAGAGCCCCCCCAGGGACCATAAGCAACAGCAAACCAGCCCCCACCAGGGCCTGTCCCCCAGACACAGGCCAAGAACTACAGCCCTTCTTTAAGTAGGATAATGACTCAAAAGGTTTGAAGGATTTTAAACAGATTTTCTTGATTCTGAATGAAGCCATGAGCTACCATCTTTCATAACCATCTCAATCTCTAGACCTAAACCAACAGAAAAGCGTTAAAGTACCTGGAGAGAAGATCCAAAATCCGTTTTCTGACTAAGGACCGTCTTTCTAAAGTCATGTCTTATCAGCTCACCTGCGTTTCCTTCTGTTAACCCTAAAGACTGTTTTACGGAAAAGGATTAGGGCCGCTGAGGAAAAAAAAAAGTTAACTGATTTTTAAATTTTATTTCAGTTTAATATGGGGAAAAAAGTCAGAATTCTGACTTTTTTCCCATATTAAACTGAAATAAAATTTAAAAATCAATTAACTTTTTTTTCCAGTGGCCCTAATCCTCTTCCGTACTGTTTTAAGACGAATGCTGATTTAAATTTGAATCATCCCTGAAAGCTACAAACCTCTAAGCTCCAAACACCTCTGACCACCAGCAGATCTTTATTTTATAAACTCCTCATAAACTCATGACTCCTGCTATCCTCCAATTTCCTTTGGCAACATTCAGTATGTACTTAGTTTTTCCTTTCCCTCTCTCTGAATGTTTGCTCATTTTTTTAATTAAATAAAAACAGCGTAACATATCATGTGTAATTGGTCATTAGAGGTTTTATTTACCTAATTTGAAGAACTGCTGTGGGTCAGATTTTTCTTTCCATAAAACCCTTTGAAATAATAGAAGGAACCCTTAGCTTTAACATTGGTTATTGAAAGAGCAGAGAGTAAAGTGAATTCAGCCTGCTTCGGGTGGCTGATTTTACTACGGCACACAAATGAGACAGTCTTTTCCTTTTTCCCTGCAAAAACACTCCCACACTGGCAGCAGAGGATGTTTTGATCCTCCGGCGAGGACTCATGGTGGATGACCTCAGATGCCGGGCATAGTGATGGTTATATGAGTCGCATAAAACGGAGTCAATTTAACAAGATGGGAGACTGGACAATGTGCCAAGCAGAATAAGACAGTCTGGCCAAACACAGAAACACAAGTTACCCATTTCACAGTCCAGTCGACAGAAAAGTAGTAAAGATATAAACATGCTAATTCTCTATTGATACCATAAAGCGGGGAGAGCAGCAAGAATAGTAGCTCAGACGTCCAGAATGGGCCCACTGTGTATTTGAGAACATTAAAAAGAAAGAGTTTTCTACTGAAAAAAGTTGTTACTCTGCTTCAGGCGGGTCAATAAACTTCATTAAGAAATAAAACAATTCAATTCAGTTTATTTATATAGTAGCAGTTCACAACACGTGATCTCAAAG